TGGTGAAAGAATAGAGGAGGTAAAAGCATATGGGAGTCTATTAAGATTGTACTGATTATACTAAACAAGTGTAAACAATCCTGATGAAACAGAAACCTTAAAAATGTCTTCCGCTGTTCTACAACTTAAGAATGTGGCGTTCTAGTATTCTCCACTGACTAGCGAGTAGATATTACTGGAGCAGCTTAATGATTATATGAAAAAAATTGGCTGAAGAACATAGTTTCTGGCTGGTTATAATAAGTACCTTTGTGGCCATGGTACTAAAGTCTTACTAGATTTATTTGGTAGACTTCCTCCCATTTCCTCCACATGCAGGATATAGTTACAGGCTGCTAAAAAAATGATGCCTTAAATCAATGTTTTAACTGCATTCTGCAAATGAGACTTTGGAGAGTGAAGTTCTGACTTTCAAAGTCACATTTGTCATAAAGATTCAAGAGTTGTGTGCTGTCAGTTTTTCAACTTGAATATTGTTTTTTTGTTTATGTCTGATAAAGTTAGAAATTCTGACTGTTGTGAAGGTGACAATCATTTCAGACTACAGATGCCATGACTAATAAAACCCTGGTCACAGTGGAAATGATCTCTGTCAATGTATTTCCTCGTACTTAATGACTTGACAAATAACAAATTAATCAACTGGCTGCTTAATTGTATAAAGAGTGTAACTAGATTGATATCATTCTTAATGCTGACAATATTTGTTGACCCTGCAGGTGAAGAATAAGATCCTGGAGGAGGAGATACATTGTCCACCAGAGGCTTCTGTTCTGTTGGCCTCTTACGCAGTCCATGCAAAGGTCAGTGTGGTGTATCCATCCATCCATCACTCCATCCATCCATCACTCCATCTATCTGTCATCCATCCATCATTCAACTCATTTATTTATACATTCATCCATCCATCCATCCATCCATACACACAAGCATTCATCCAATCGTGCATCCATCCATACATGCGTACATGTGTCTGCCTCTTCCTTGTTATTGCATGAATTGTATTGAATGGGTCGATTTTATTCATTCATCCATCATCTATTCATTCATGTGGACATGGATCCATATGCATTGATACATGCATACATACTGTACATGGATCAATACATCACCATTAGATGCATACACCCATGTATATATACAGTACAAACTTGCGTACCTATGTTTCCCCGTCCTTTAAGATGACATGTAGACCTAACTTGTGCAACACCAATATCGTAAAATCCTTTTTGATATTAACATATCCATTAAAAAAAGTCGGCCCTTCAAAGGATTGATAAACACCGAAACTACCGTACCTCTCCACGTCGTATCATCCTGTGCTGCGGCTCAGAATATTAGCCTTATCTCTGTATAGTCCTTCGGTCTCTCGTGTCTCTCTCTTGTCTCACAGAAGGATGAAAAGAAACTCTTGTTTCATAATTAATATTGACTATCTCAGAACAATAAGCGTGATGAAGATGAGGCGGTTGCACAGCAACAGGTTGGGGAATAGATTAAAAGACCAGGAAAAAAGTGAAGTTTCAGAAATAGCTTCTGGTGTAAACAATGAGTTAACATATCTAGAATCGATGGAGTTTCTTATGAGATTTATTGTCATTGTTAATACTCATTTAAAGTTGCTGCAGAGGACTATATTGTGGGTGAACAACTTATCATATGTAGCTGTCTGTCTGTTTTGTTGTCCTGGTTTTGATGTCGCCTGGAACAGCCTGTTTTGGTACTGGTGACGAACATAATTATTGATATTCTGCAGCATTTTGTGTGACATGTCTTTAATACCACCTGAATCTCCAGTGCTGTGTTTTAACAAGCTGCTTTAAAGAGAATAACTGTCACTCTGCCAGAGTAGCAGACTCCCACTGAGGCAGCCACCACACTGATCCACTGTTGGCAGAAAATGCCATAAAATATAAGTAAGAACTTGTGGTCTCATTTGGAGTATGTGACTCAGAAATATACTGAAGATTTGAAGTATTCTGTCTTTGCCAAAACCGGAAAACAATATTTAACACTGAAAAATTAAACACAGCATTAATTATTACAGAAAAGTTCTAAAAACGAGTAATAGCGATGAGAAACTATGAGTTTCATTTGTACCATCACTGACGTGGAAATACCTCCAAACTGCTGACATTGTTGAATTCAACTCCAGCTTCAATGTGTTTTCCCCAAAAGAGCAGTTGGTTTTACAACAAGAAATCAAATACAAATATGATAGCAACATAAGACAAATTACAAACAATAATAGTATAAATATGTTCTATAAAGTGGCGCTTTGGCCCAGAGGCAATGTCTCTGTCATTGGTGTGGAACCCCAGGGTTCACCTCCTGGGCAAGTTCGAATCCCGGTTAGGGCGGTTAATACCTTCCAGTGGACTCACCAACCACAGGAAGGTTCAGGGGGGGTTGGTACGGTGTAATGTGATTTGGGTGGCGGCTGCTGCCCCCGTGACCCGGTAACGGATAAGCGGCTGAAGATGGATGGATGGGTGGATTGATGGATGTTCTATAAATATGTATAATAAAAGTACAATATGGGTACATGATACTATCTTGTCAGCAAACTACCAATTAGGGCAACAAGATGCTAAGCAAAAGCAGAAAGTTTTAATAATTATTTGTACTATACTGGTTCCATATTTGGGAAGTTCTTGTGTTAGCAGCAGATATGCTGTTAACAGGCTACCCCTAGCAAGGGCCAAGCCTGTGGTTCCTCTGAGAAGGGAACCCAGGACTCGCTGCTTCCAAGGCAGGCATGCTAACCGCTACACTATGGAACCGTCAACCGCTACACTATGGAACCGAATAACAATTGCTCTAGGTGAGGCTTGAACTCTCATCTTATAAGTATCGTGCGCTGATGATTAAGTCACTACAGCCTTTGATGTCCAATATTTGTGCATCCCTACCTAATACCAGTCCTACAGGTGTTCTTTAAGAACTGTAGAGGTCGGAACATGTTTTGATTCCATTACCTAATATGTAATGGAAAGAAAGAAATGACTATTAAAGAAAGAAATGAATATCATTTGATGTATAGTAGAAGAATAGAATAGCTGTAAATGACATTTGTACGAAGTTCACCAAACTTGTAGAGAAATGCTAATTAATATTACCCTGTACTGCATAAACCTTTTTGTGTGCTTATAATTGTATTCAGTTTGACTTGGGCTATTTTTTTTTAATTTTTGACCATCTGTTCATTTAATTCAAATTGACATTTCACATTTGTGTTCATATTGTGCTGAACTTCCGTTGGTTTCTCTGTATGAATGAGACCACACATGAAGAGCATTTTAATAATTAACTTTAATAAACCTCAAAGCAATCCACGTCATCGTGGTTGAAGGATCCAATCTTTTTTTCCCCCCCCAATGAGAAAGATACAGAGTCAGGTGCTGCTTCCTGACAAGCAGTAAGAGGCTGGTGAGACTGCAGCACTGCCTCAAAGATTTGACGGAGAGCCCTCTGGGCCTCACCTTTCCCATGCCAATTTAGAGACCTAGGATAAAGAAGACTATGGGGATCAAGAAATTTTAGCCAATCACCTTGAGACTTTTGCTCTCAGCTTAAAAATTTCCTTAATCTGGAAACTGCAAAAAAAAAAGAAGAAAAAAAAGAAAGAAAGGGCAACCACGGTCTGTTCAATTTTTTTAGTTAGCTGTCCAGTCTGACTAGAGTGCTAATAAATTGGCATTTTTAAAGGAAAGACAGGTACTTATTCAGCAGAACAGCTGCTAAAAGGATTTTGGCACAGTTTTCTTCTCTGCTTTTTATAATGGATTCTTATGGTGCAGCAGTACTGAGTAGCCTGTGAAGTAGTCCCAAAGTGGGAAGAAGAGTCCATACATCTTAAATATATAATAAGACCTAAATGTATCATAATTTGAGAATAAGATTATTTATACATATTCGTAATGATTAAGGTAAGAGTTCAGGGAATTAAGTACGTCTAAGTGAAGTACTCATAGATACCAGACGGTGTGTGTGTGTGTGTGTGTGTACACAAATGACATCCTAAAACTGCTAAATGTTGTCTTGTGATCAGTATAGTAGTAGTTGTGTTGCTTTGTACTTCAAATTAGTTCATTCGGGATTGAAGACCTTATCTACAGGTGGATTAGTTAATGCGCATTAGTTGAGGAGTGAGGACGCATTACTTTGCAGTGTGAACGCAAATGTGGCGTGTAACTAGTTAAGTTGTGCAACTAACAGTTAGATCAGCGGTTCGCAAACGTTTTCTACTCCACCTGTACCACCTGAGAAAACATTGACCTCTCTGAGTATCACCATGATGACCAACATTAGAATATAGCAGCATAGACCTTCACTGTTAGCTTCCACCACAGGAGAGATGTTTAGAAAGATGTTTATGTTTAAATGTTGTTATTTGAACACACTGTTCTTTTCACCAGTTTTCATTTCACCAAAGCTCCTCAAGCTGAACCATCTCACCCTGTATGTATTAAACGGGGCATTAGCTTGATTAATCCACTTCCGCCCTATGACACAATGCTGAAGTTTTTTTTTTTTTTTGCTTGTGGATAAGAAACATTTATCAGGTTCTGTTAGATGTTTTACAACATTTCAGTCTACTATGTATTCTGAGCAGGTGTGATGCTACCAAAAGTTGTAGTAGATGGGAGATTTTGATTGACAGCCTTTCTACTCTGAAAAGAAAAACTGTAAGGGCTTTGTGGCACCATGATTGAACATGGAGTGAGGTCATCGGCTTCAGCTCCCTCACCTCAGGGAACACAGAGATTTCTTGTAGAAAAATAAGGTGCGGAGCAATATAAGACACTGACAGGCATTGATAGCACATGTTTCTGTCTTTAGCAAGAGGCACAGACACCATGTGTTCCTAAATATACTTCTAGAACTCGAAGCTGCAGCCTGAATGACAGAAAAGCTATATTTCATTAAATATAGTTTGTCTCATGCTGAGATAAAAGATGCCGTTGGTTTTTTTCATCATTGTGCTGTAAGAGGATTTTCTGTCAAAACACAACAGAATATATCTGTGAGGCAGCAGTTAGCATCATCCATGTTTGACGGCCCTAAAGTAAAAACTCTCTTTTTAATTATTTATGATTTTGTTGCCAATTAAGCACATTGATTGATAGATTGATGAATGGTTTGGATTGGCAACAAAATCATCGTCAATTAAGAATGGTGGATGTGTAGATTGATCGACTTTATTATTGAAAAAAAAAAAAGAAATTCAGTGTCACAGCAGTAAGAAATAAAACAACTGGTGTCAAAAAATATGCAATTTAAAGCCGTAGCTGGAAACTTGATTGGCTCCATTCAACTGTTTCATGCCTCATACCGATACTGCCACTTGTACCTACTAATAGCGAAGTAAATTCGATAGCGTCCTGTGTTCTCCAGCAGCGGGCTGCTGTTGCCCAGGATCGGAAATTTGGACATTTCAAAAAAAAGTTCAGTGTAGTAGGTATTATCTGATTGCCATTCCCAGTCAAGGAGGTATGCAGCTGAGGTAGCTGTTACGTCCAGTGGTTGCCATGACATTTCTTTTTGTTTTGCTAATGAAACATAGGTCACTGTACTCTGCTGCATGTAATCTCTTTGCTTCTTCTGAAACCTTGACAGTAGCAACAGCTGTGCTCTCTTTATCTGTTATTACGTCTTGTGTTAGAATTTGTTGAATTTTGTTCAGTTTGTGCACCTTTTTAAAAAAATCATCGTCTTGCCCCGGAGTGTGCTTAAAATGCAAGGTTACATGCAGTTTATCGACTTGACATTATATCTCTCCCTAATAAGTTTACTGGAAAATTTGGTGCCAAAATAATTGGCACAACTACTCAACATTTATTTCCTTTTTCTGGATTATTTTGATTCTGTTATGCCTTTTAATTCTTCACAGCATACAGTTCTACATGCTCCTGTCGGCTCTTTTATTTTTTGTTGGTCTAAGGCAGGGGTGTCAAACTCATTTCCACCAGGGGGCCACATCAGCAATACAGTTCCCCTTGAAGGGCCGGTTGTAACTGGAAGACTGTATAGATCAGGGGTCCCCAACCCCTGGTCTGCGGACCAGTACCAGTCCATAGGTCATTTGGTACCGGGCTGCAGTGGGACATAGTTAAAAAATGTGCTTAATTTTTTATGCATTTACTTTCTTTAATTAAAGATGATCAATTAAAAAAAAGATGTAATAAAAAAAAGCTTTTAATTTCTCAGGTTAAGCTCCCGCGGGCCACACAAAACGGCTTGGCGGGCCGCATTTGGCCCCCGGGCCTTGAGTTTGACACGTATGGTCTAAGGTGTTTTTACCTTGGATACAAAGGTGGTGGGGGGTGGGGAGGACAGACGTGTCATACATTCTTTTATATCTCCATAATCTGAAAGTAGAGTTGCTGTATCAACACACACTCTCGTTTCCTATGTCTGTTTGATGCTATTGTCTAATTGTCCTCAGGTCTGACATACAGTATATAGTTTTGTTTTTTCTTACTTGATTGTAGTTTTTTATTCCGAACCATTGCTTCTGCTTTTAAGTGTTAGTAGTTCTATTCCATGCTCTCTTACACAAGCTTGTTGAAACCAACATTCAGCCACACTTAGCCCAAGCTTCTCTTTCTTTCTTTTATTGCCTTTTGCCTCTCTTTTTTATGGCAAGCACAAGCTCTTAGCAGTCTTCCTGTTTTAATTTTCCTTTAAAACCATACTTTTTCTGCCAATTATTTAAATCTTTACATTTGAAAACATTTGAATTTGGATGGATCTGAATTGTACCTAGACATATACTTAACATCCCCTTTTAAACACCGGAATATTTGTCTTTTTCTTTCATAAGTTCCCCATTTTGATTTCTTATCAAAAAAACCTTAAAAAAAAACTTGACCGTAGCTGGGAATGTGATTGGCTCCATACAACGGTTTCATGCCTCATACCGATACTGCCACGTAAAGTACCTACCAACAGTGATGTAAATCCGATAGCTTCCCTTGTTCTCCAGCAGCGGGCTGCTGTTGCTGAGGACAGGAAATTTGGACATTTTTGGTGGAAAGTTCAGTGAAGGGCTGTAGTGTTATCTGATTGCCATACCCAGACAAAGAGGTATGCAGCTAATGTCCGGTGGTTGCCTTGACATTTCTTTTTGTTTTGCTAATGAAACATAGGTCACGGTACTTGCTGCATGTAATCTCTCTGCTTCTTCTGAAACCTTGACAGTAGCAACAGCTATGCTCTCTTTATCTGTTATTATGTCTAGAATGTGTTGAGTTTTGTTCAGTTTGTGCACCTTTTTATCAAAATCATCGTCTTGCCCCGGAGTGTGTTTAAAACGCAAGGTTACATGCAGTTTATCGACTTGTTTGATTTGGTCTGGCATTTTAACACATCTGTTATTTTGCTAAGCAATGTTGTTGGGACACTCAAGGACGGACCAGTGTTCAAATATAATGACCAGAAATAGCTTGGTCCGGAATAAAGGGTCAGCTTGTACGAATGATTTTATATACAGAGCTAAATAAAACATGTCCTACAAACACATACAGTGAACATTCAGTATTACACGTGTACAGGTACAGGTAAATGCAAATCTTAACCTACTTGCATAGTTAGAGCTGGTTTAAAAAAGTGTTGCCACATGTATAATTCATGTTCCTCTAGCAGGTTTTTCAGAAGGCCAGAGGAAATTCACTGCCACTCACACGCTCACATGCCTGACCCATTCATATTCCTATTCATGATATAATTTGTACACAGCTCGATGATTATAACTAATGAGTCTCATTTCTCCCTGATATTTCTAATAGCATCATTTAAACTGTCTCCATGAAACATCGCCAGTGGTGAGCCCTGTGTGATACATGTTGATGACCCGATGTTTGACAAACCAACATTCACCCACACACATGCACACACACACAGATGCATTTTGTACTGTAGCGTAGCTGCGTCTTGCAAATGTCTCCGAGGAGAAACTGTGTGACTGAGCTAAAAAAAATAAAAAAATAGAATGTGAAGTGAATAGTGGCTCTTAGATCCCAGTGATTGTTTTTTCACCATTTTACAGTATGGAGATTACGACCCCAGCGTTCACAAACCTGGCTTCCTAGCAGAAGAAGAACTTCTGCCAAAGAGGGTGAGTAAACAAGCCAGTACAATCACAATCAATACTTTTTTTCTCTCTCTCTCTCACCTGCACTATGACACGACGCCACAGAGTTAATTGTACTCTGTGTTAGGTTCATGGATATTTATTCCTGTCTCTCTCCATTACAGGTGATTAACTTGTACCAGATGACTGCAGAAATGTGGGAGGAGAGGATCACAGCCTGCTATGCGGAGCACAGAGGCAGGATGAGGTACCAAAGCAAGAGTGCCGCACTGCACTGAGAGTCCACAGTGGTCGGCAACTGAATTTAAAGATTTATTCCAGTACAATAGAGCAGTGGGTCTCAAACTGTGGTACGTGTACCACCAGTGGCACGTTAGCGCTCTCTTGTGGTGCGCGTGGAAAAGTCATATTTTCACATTCACATTTTCAATTGAATAAATCTGAAACATATCACGCACAATAACCATCAACATCTTTCTAAACATTTCTAAACATCTCTCCTGTGGTGAAGGCCTATGCTGCTATATTCTAATGTTGGTCATCATGGTGCTATTCAGAGAGATCAAGGTTTTCTCAGGTGGTACAGAAAAGGTTTGAGAACCACTGCAGTAGAGTAAAAATATTTAATGTGAAACTTATTTACACACACACAAAAAAAACCCCAACAAAATACTGTTTTCTCAAAGTAGTAGAAAATAAGATGAAGAAAGTGACGGATAGTCTGAAGTCTGCCGTTCTTTCATTCTACTTCACCGTTCAACTAAACAAACTTATAAATGCATAGAGACTCAGAGCCTGGTGCCGCAGCTTGATAGAACTCATGTGGGTTGCGTTATTTTATGCTGCAAATAGAAATCCAAAGGGCAGAAACCTCGGGACTTTGACACAAGTAAGAACTGACTCACTCATGTTGTTCAATAACCTTTTCAGCTACAGGAGGTGGTCCACTTACCTTCAGTGTTCCTATTGTTGAGTAAATGATAGATAGACAAGTGTGGGGTGGGACGGATGTGCAAACCATGGGTGGCGCTATAGTCAGTTGCTCCCTTTTGTATATGTGATGGGTAGAAGAGGGAAGTCGGCGGGGGATTTTTTTTAGTTTTTATTTAGTAAAAGACTGAAAATGTCATTTGGAAATGAAGAGGACATCATTGAATGGTGTTTGAAACTAGTGTAGGTGTTGTTTTCAGACAGAGATATTACAACTGTCACTGCCCCCCGCTCTGGTGGGGTTATATTCAGGCCCGCTAGAGTGGTCAATCTATCCAACTTGATCAATTTTGAATAAAAAAAAAGACACAAATACTTTTTCAGGATATTTTTTGTAAACTTATATTTTATTAAATATAGTTTAATAGTATTAATAAATATCTATCATGCATCTACATTTTTGCATGAAAACAAAGGGGAAAAACATGGACATATTATAATTTATTAAGCTGTGATTAACATCTAATTAGGTTGTATGCGGGTCCTCAAACCAAAATAAGTTTGACCCCTGGTATAGAGGGTGGGGCTGCAGGGTATTTAGGAAGGCCCCTGACTGAAAGGGCCCCAAAAAATATTAGAATATTATATCAACACAAGAGATTGTGCTTTTGTGAACCTTGTGTTACAAGGAGCAGAGGTAGTGAAGGTGCAGGAGTTTAGGTACTTAAGATCAACTGTCCAGAGCAGAGGAGACTGTGGAACAGAGGTGAAGAATAGGTGAAGAATAGTAGAGTAATAGAGTGCAGGCAGGATGGAACAGCTGGAGAAAGTGTCAGGAGTGATCTGTGACAGAAGAGTGTCAGCTGAGGTGAAGGGAAAGGTTTACAGGACGGTGGTGAGACCAGCCATGATGTATGGTTTAGAGACAGTAGCAATAGGCACAAGACAGGAGGTGGAGCTGGACTTCAGACAGACAGAAGTAGTCGGTTCCATAGTGTAGCGGATAGTATGCCGGCCTCTGAAGCAGAGAGCGGGGAGTCATGGGTTTGATTACCAGAGGAACCCCTGGCTTGGCGTTTACTAGGGGCAACCTGATAACAGCATATCTGCAGTTTCCCAAATGTGGGATCAATGTCATACAAATGAATTAATTTATTTTAGAAGGAAAGAGCAGTTTGTGGTTTCTGTAAGTGTATACAAAGGCATTTGAAGCCATCAGAATGGTCTCCTGTCCCACTCAGCATAACATGTAAAACCTTACAGCCTGAATTAAACGTCGTGCACAATGTCAACATTGTGCTTTGTGGCAGTTTTCATGGATCACATGGTGTGACAAATGCTGCGTACGAAAGCCAAAGAAACAGAGTCTGATGTCCTTTTTTTTTTTTCCTCTCCTCCCCTCTCTCCTCTCCTCCCCTCTCTCTTCAATTCCCTTGGATCCCATTCAATCTCTTTCTTTCTCCATCTGTATTTGAACCAGGGATGAAGCTGAAATGGAGTATTTAAAAATAGCTCAGGACCTGGACATGTACGGTGTCAATTACTTCTTGATCAGGGTGAGGCGATGCTGCTTCCTTGTTTGTAAATGAAGATGAGATGAAGGAGCAGAGGCAATTTTCACCGTGGTGGATGAATGTCAGCCTGACTCCTCTAGGTTTATTTTTGAATGTACATTATGAGTTTGTTTTTTTTAAATTCATGACTTCTGTTGTTTTTACCACATAAATTATTAAAAAATAATGCAATAACTCTTTATGGTGAACATTCACTGGAGGAGACTTTGGCCTTGATCAGGGCTTTCTCTGAAAGGCCAAAGCATTTGTAAAATACCACCAAGTGATCTAAGCTCAAGTTATTCATGGGGCGCTAGTTTTTTTCACCTAAACAAAGTAAATAAACTCCGTTGGCGTATATGTTGCAGCTCGACCTTTACGGATTGTTTAAGAAATCCGTAGTCAGCACAGTGTGTCTGCTTCGTTTATTAAATAGGAAAAAATGTCCGCTGGATGTTTGGTTTGAAGACAGCTCACTAGTATCCTCTGTTTACACTGCATATTTATGTCCAGAATAAAAAGGGAACCGATCTTCTCCTGGGTGTGGATGCCTTGGGTCTGCATATCTACGAGCCGGAAAACAGGTTGACTCCCAAGTGCTCCTTCCCCTGGAACGAGATCCGCAACATCTCCTACAGTGACAAGGAGGTGAGATACACATACCCACACACACATTAATGTATATACACACTCACATATACACGTACATGTATGGTACTTTGTCATTTTATTCTGCATTTCTTTTGCATATAATTCTACACACTTCCTCCATATACATTTTTAAAAAATATTTAAACCCATGATCCAAGTACTCAGTCATGGTGTGACATTACAACAGCAAAGCACTACTGGAGAATTCTCCCATAATTCAACATGCTGTCATGCCTGTCGTAATACATTTTACTGAAGACTCTTTTCTATTGTTTTCTATTGACCTCCTTCTGTCCAGTTTACGATCAGACCTCTGGACAAAAAGGCAAATGTTTTCAAGTTCAACTCTTCACGTCTGAGAGTCAACAAACTGGTGAGCTCAGCTGAAATGGTCACATCCATTATTCACCGTTAGAAAGAATAAATTGGACCCATTCACAGTACATTGTACATTGTACATTGTGTTTCTTGCACAGATTCTTCAGCTGTGTATAGGAAACCATGACCTGTTCATACGTAGGAGGCGAGTCGACTCCCTGGAAGTGCAGCAGATGAAGGCCCAGGCCAGAGAGGAGAGAGCCAGGAAACAGGTACTTACAGACACTGGCAGGAAAAAAGACATATGATTGAATGTGGAAGCAAGGAAAGTACTGCAGTACTTATTACCGACAGTTTTTCTTTAAATGTCAGTAATCTTTCTCCTGCAGATAGAGCGGCAGCGTCTGCAGAGGGAGAAGCAGCTGCGGGAGGAGGCAGAGCGAGCCAGGGATGAGCTGGAGAGGAGGTTGCTTCAGCTGCAGGACGAGTCTCACATGGCCAACGAAGCTCTGGTGAGATGTTATTGGTTATAAGAGCATCTTAACATTTTCCCAATTTGACCAAAGTTGCTCTGACAAATGGATGTTACGGCAGCAGAGAAAGCTTTAAAAATAAATCGTATTTTAAGGTTAGTTAAGTTAAGTTAAAGTAACCTTATATTAAAGTGGTGGTTCTCAGAGTAGGGGGCAGGTTTCCAAAGAGGGCAGGAAGCAATTTTAAATTTGATTTTTTTTTTCTGCCACAGTGGGGAAATTGATAATATTTACATTGTTCAATGAGAACAAGTGTTGTTGTAGGAGTAACGTTTTTTTCTATGCTTTAGTTGTGAATGTGATCTCCACAGTAGTTCTATCTATAAAAATATTGAAAAATATATATATGTACAATTCATCTCACATTAAGCAATTTTTTTTTAAGTTGAAGTTTGAGTCAAGGTTCACCACAAAAGCAGCTTCTATTAAACGTAGGAACACTGGTGTTAAACAGTAAACATTTTTTAACCAAATGACTATAATGTTATAGTTGCTTGTAATTTGCAAAAAAACATAAATCACTCTGTTTTAATCTTGATTTTACTGCTGTAATGATATATTATTTTCTCTCTTTCTGCTCCATTTCCTCTTTTCCTTATTACCTCACCATTTGTCTCATCTTTCCATTTGCTGCCTCTTCTCTTCATCAGCTACGTTCAGAGCAGACGGCCGACTTGCTGGCTGAAAAAGCCCAGATCGCAGAGGAGGAGGCAAAGCTGCTGGCCCAGAAAGCTGCCGAGGCTGAGACGGAGATGCAGCGCATCAAAGTGACTGCCATCAGGGGTCAGGAGGAGCGTCGGCTCATGGAGCAGAAGATGCTGGAGGCCGAAATGCTGGCACTGAAGATGGCCGAGGAGTCAGAAAGAAGGTGGGGAGTGGAAGTACTAGGTGGATGAATGATGGGGTCTGCTGCCAATGGATGTGTGTTCAGATTTGGTATTTGTTATTTTTTCTTTTTACACATTAATTTTTTATCCTTTTACCATTTTTCTCAAAAAGACACACTCTATCTTTTCCATATATAATTTTCAATTAATTTAATTTAAATGCAATCTTGGCATCAAAACCCAATTGGTGAACAACTTTCTGATGGAAGTGTCTTTGGTTTAGTTTCCTTTTTCGTACAGAAGTTGAACAATATGCTTAAAGCACACGTCTACAGGTAATGTGTCCCATTCAAATTAATCAGAGAATAGGAACGTCTAGCGGCTGTGAAGTCATTTTGTTTTTCTAAAGCCTTGCACTGCAGCTGAAAATTGAGTAGTTGAGCGTCTCAGGCCCAGGAGTTAATTTGTCACTGAATTGGTTCACCAACACCAACACCATGGTATTATCTGATAAAAGGAGATTGATCCGTCCATCAGTCCGGCCATCGTTTTTGTAAAAGAAATGTTTCTAGAACGTGTTCAGAAACCTCTGACTCCGACTGTTGGCGATGATCTGGTTCAATTTGATTTAAAGATTTCAAAGTTCATTAATGCCCTCACACAGTGTCATGTAATGGCTTAGAACAGAAAGTTCAGTTTGATAGATTTACAGTAGGATGTTGGTACCCAAAGTGGGGGGTGGGTCCTCTAAGGCAGGGGTGTCAAACTTATTTTCACCGGGGGCCGCGTCAGCAATGCAGTTCCCCTTGAAGGGCCAGTTGTAAATGGTAGACTGTATAGATCAGTTGTTCCCAACCCGTGGTTTGTGGACCAGTACCAGTCCAAAGGTCATTTGGTACTGGGCCGCAGTGGGACACGGTGAAAAAATTTTGCTTAATTTTTACTAATTTACTTCATTCAAAGGAAATCCAGAAATTTCACCATATCTATTTACTTCCTTTATTTAAAGATAATCTGGCAATATTTTAAAATAATAGGTCATTCAGACTCTGATACAAACAGAAAAGACTCTAGTAGTTGTTTTATTTTGAAAATTTAATGATCCTTCAATGCTCAGCACCTTGCTACCGGTCTGTAGTAACTGGGTGACCAGTACCACGGTCAGGGACCACAGGTATAGATGTAGTTGCACCATCCATCCATCCATCCATCTTCAACCGCTTATCCGGGGCCAGGTCGTGGGGGCAACAGTCTGAGCAGGGACACCCAGACTTCCTTCTCCCTCGACACTTCCTCCAGCTCTTCTGGGGGGACCCCAAAGGCGCTGCCAGGCCAGCCGAGCAACGACGTAGGTCTCCTCCCAGAGGGACGGCACCCGAGCACCTCCCGAGGGAGGTGTCCGTGGGGCATGCGATGTAAATGCCCAAGCCACCTCAGCTGACTCTTCTCGATGTGGAGGAGCAGCGGCTCTACTTCGAGCTCCTCTCGTGTGACAGAGCTCCTCACCCTATCTCTAAGGGAGCGCTCTGCCACCCTGCGGGAAAAGCTCATTTCAGCCGCTTATATCCAGGATCTCGTTCTTTCGGTCATGACCTAAAGCTCATGACCATAGGTGAGGGTAGGAACGTAGATTGACCGGTAAATTGAGAGCTTCGC